AAAACATGTTTAGGTTATAGGCGACTTCCCCGTGGTCAAGAGATTAGAAATGTCAGTGGGCGTCGAAAAGATAACAAATGAGTTTATTTTATTTTTAATAAAAACAATCAATAGTTTATATGTATATAGTTATGCATGTGTTCTTTTTTTTAATTATTTATCTGTAAGTTATTTTATTATATATATATATATATATATTTTTTTTTTTTTTTTTTGTACAAATAGTGTGTATCCTACCTCCCTATAACCAATGCCCAAATGACAAAATGTTATATTATTCAATTAATAAATAAATAATAGCTGGAAAAAAATAAAATAAAAACAATAAAAAAAATTCCTAACAAGTATCGGTAGCATAGAAAGTCCAACTGGAAACGTTCTTTCATGCGTTGCGGGTCTTAATCAGGTATTTGCCACAATCATCCTTGTGATCAACAATCAATCAAATCTAAACGTATTGCTGATTTATGCACTAAAATTTTTTTAACATTTATATTTAACGAATTGACTATTTTTTTAAGGAACAATTAATATTTACTGAGCAACAGAACATTAATTATCGAGATTTTATTATTCCACTCAATAGAAACAAGAGTTATAAAAAGCTTAACATAGGAAAAATACAATAATAGATCTTGGTAGATACAAATTATTAAAAAACACTTGTAATTGCACAGTAATAATACAGTTAGCGCCAATTATAATTGCGGATGCATAACCGACCTCCGCAGGTTCATCAATATCTCCTAGACCAGTGGTCTCCAAACGTTTTGGCCCACGAACCGCAGTGATACCTCGGAGAAGTTCCGCGTGCCAAGGCTTGTGATAAAAAAAAAAATCTTGTTCTATAAATTTCATATCAGATGTGAGATCAGCTTTCTAAGAGAAAAAAAAAACATGCAATACATGTTATAGTACAACAAGGGTAATAATGTTTATAATATAGAGATACACTCTATCCGTATGGGGTTCTTCCCTCAAAAAAAAAAATAAAGTTAAATTAATTAAATAATAATCTCTACTATTATTATTTTTTTTAACATAAAATAAAATACGCGGCAATTTTGTAATTTTTTGTAAGATACACTATTAAAGATTTCAGAATGTAGAAAAATTTCCGATTAATTTAAATTTGATAAATGGACGTTTAATATTGTAACTGATGATATTTTTATTGATACCTTTTATTTTAAAACAACTTGAAATATAATCAACCCCACTTTATTATTCTTGTAGCCTTTGGTTGCTGAGGTGAAGGGGGTCAACAACCACCGCCCAACACCTATATCCCCTCCAACGGCTATTCCTCTCAGTCCCCAAACCAAATATATTATAAATGTAACGATGTACGACCATAGTCTTGGAAATCAATGACAATACATACGTAGACGATTACAACTAAAATTTATTAAACAATAAAAAGCTTATGTAATTTAGCAATAACCTATATTTTAAAGGAAGGAGATCTCCTTCCTTTATAATGCAACGGTCAACTATTAAATATTCAACCTATATTTTATTCTATTTATTTCTAACAATGTATGGGAGAGGAGTTCCTCAACCCATAAAAGCCAAGAAATAAGTATGTGTTACCATTAAAAAAAAAAGAGAAGTAAGACATACGAGAAAAAGGTTAAATAAAGAACAAACAAATTTAAATAAGTATTTTTGTTTATAATACCATAATGTATATTATGTATGTCTGAGTTTTTAAAAAAATTATTTATCTTTAAGTTACTTTAATTTTATTAATTATATATACATTTTGATTATTACTTTGCTTATGATTATTTTATATTTTCTGTATATACATAGTGCGAATTTTGTATTACCACACTATAACTATTCTCCATGTAACAGAATATTATATTATTTTATATTACAAAAAAACAATATGAATAATTTATAATACCAACTACCCTTTTAATGTTTAACTGAGCCAATAAAGATCTAAAATGAATCAATATTATTATATTACTCATAATATACATATAAATAACGCATAAATGTATCTATAATAAATAAAGCTCTGAGTGTTTGTTTGAACGCGTTAATTTCAGAAACTAAGCGAAGTGGATCCAGGAGTTTAATTTTGGAGAGCCTTGTTTATTTAATAACAAAATTACTCGGTAAGAAAAAGATAGAATCTATATAAAATAATGCTTACGTGGTACTTTATAACCTGTTAAAAAAAATGTTACTGTTTGGTACATCTTAGTTTACTCAAAGAAAGAAATATACACCAATGAAAAAAATGTATCATTTTTCCATTTGGGAGGACATCAGCCCGAAAGTTCCGCTATCCTCCTTCCATTGGATCGAACCGAGACCAGACTGATTAGAAAAATTCTTTTAGCGTTAGGCAGACAGTTTTTGAAGTTAATAGCATCGAGCTACGATCCATTGGAACATAGCAGTAACGTAGTCCTCAATCAATCAGAAAAACCGTAGGCAATTACGCAATTCTATCGTAAATATAGTTTGCATTCCTCTACAGATAAAGCACCAGAACAAACTTCTAACTTCATTGATGTCGATTAAAGTGAAGGTTGTTTTTCCACGAACAACTATATTTTGGGTTGGTTGCAGGGACACCAATACATAACCATACCACAAAAAAAAAAAAAAAAAAAAAAAAAAACATTAAAGACATCATATACAGGGAAGAAATATAATAAAGTTTTCTATAATAATCTCAAACATACCATACATTTTCTAGAAAAAAAATAAGATTAAAGTCATCAAAATAAAGATGCTGTCCGCGTAGTTTCTTTAATTAGTGATCTTTTGTATTTCTACATGAATTTAGGATGTGATTAGTTGCACACTACGGGCAGGAAGTAGAAGGGGGTCCCCCTTCCGAATATTTCCAAATTATCTGTTAGTTATCAAGTCGAGAAGAAATATAGGGGGCGTGACCTTATATGTTACTGAAACCGAAGAACAGGCCCAAAAAGGTCGTGAGTTACTTTTCTCGAGACAAAATCAATCTAAACAAATATAAATACAAAATGATGTATACATTAGAATGCGATATAAAATTAACTATTATTACTAAAATATAATGGCAACGTGAAACTTGAAACATCTTAATCGATAGAAATTGCATTCCAAAAATCAATATATGTATGAATGAATACATAAAGCGAACGTATCTCTGGATTAGTGGTTATAAAATTAAGTACGATTATAAATTTAATTAAACTGAATTAAGTATTATTTTTTTCATAATTATCAAACTGTTGTGTATTATAACAGCATTAGATCCGCTTACAACCTTTTAGTTAATTACATTATTATAATTATTGATTTAATATGATTATTAATCACTATTATAATATATATATAAAAATTCAACAAATAAGGTAGCTCGAAAAAATAAAACAAAAGACTATTTAGTATTAATGTATTTATACTGGTGGAGATCTTGAACGTTTCACTGAAAAACAATACTGTTGATAAGAGTCATATGTAAATTAATTTAGAAGTGATAACATATGAACAAGACAATTTTCTTTTAAACTTTCTAAATTAATAATATTTAAGCGGTTTTGCAAAGAACAATGCTTAGGATAAACAAACTCCTATCTCTAATTTCAATGAAACGTCATCTCCGTGGGTAAGTTAGGGTGAATGAAATAGGATAGTGATCGGTAGTTTACTTTTGAATGCGGATCTATATATTTATATATGTACTTATATTGTATATACAATGTATATTAACTCACACTATTTTAATAAATATTGGTACATTAATATTTCTCCTTTAAGAATCAATATTTAAAATTAATTAAGAGCTGTACAGATATCGCTTACAATAGTATCGTATGTTACTAAAACCTGATTTTCTCATCCAGCCTTCTAAAGCTGTTTTCATTAACCATAAAATAATATAAACATATGTATCGCAAAAATCCATGCAAGTATTTTCCTGGAACTGATCTGGGGTAATGTCGTCCCAGACGCTGGGAGGAATCACATGGAATAATTGAGTGCAAGGATTCGTATGACACAATATTGTAAATAATCATTATCCCGCAACGTATGTGATGATGTTAAATACATAAATATATTATTTAATAATTACACATACTGGAAAATAGATTGCTGCTCTATTTCAAACTTTAAATGAAAAATGTCTTTTTTTGTCAATTGTATGTAAACATTGGTTATCTATAAATTAAATTCGATTAGAATATTATTGTAATTGTAATATATGAAAGCGCTAATCTAGTAATTTATTAAGGAACGTCTGATTTCGTGTGGTAATCAATTATCACTTAATTACAGATCACACTAACAAGATATGTATGGATAAGTCTGTGTTGGTAGGTTTTTTTTTAATCATGCATCCATTTTATTTACGAAAGAATATTCAAGAATAAGAGATGATCTAGCGTTTGTTGTGTATTGTAAATTGATGCGTTTAGCTTAATATCGTATGTTAATGGTTATTTTTGGACCAATTATTCAGCAGAACCGAATATGTTGTTTATATTTGAAAAAGTAAGATATATCTTAATAAATCTGTTGAAAACAATATTAATTGTAATGAGATTTTTATCTCAAATCAGTGATATTTTTACCAATATTTTCCACATGCTAGTAACAATGAAGGATGACACCGTAATATATCACTAACTATGTACCTATTCGACCTACATTATGTTTATGTTTTGAAACAAACAAATACGCGATTGTTGCGGTGTTAACAGTAATCAATCATTAAATTTTATACTAATTGCATTGAGAATTTTTTTGTCAACCAACAGCTTTGTGTAGCGAAAGAGGAGAAGCCGGCTTGTAAATAAGTAAGGGACAACACACACACAAAAAAAAAAACTGAATTCCCGGCAACTGTGCCCGAACGGCTTCTCACACATCTCACCGCTCTGTTTATCTAACTCATGTTAACAGCAAATCCTCAAAACCGCACTGGACCATAACCTCACCAATACACATAAAGCTATGAGAGAGTATAAAAAGTAAGGTTGAGTTACCTGAGACTTTACGACATGGCCGGGGAGTCGGTATTGATTCGGCTGACTGATGCTGGGCTGGAGCAGCGGCACATAGCCCGCGGGCAGGCGTTCAGACAAAGGCAGGCAGACAGGCACAGGCACAAATAAAAAGACGCGACTTAACTCCACAGGAGAGAACGGAGAGCTTGGGTTAGACTAGACACAGAGGGATAGAGGACTTTCCCCCTCCACCGGTCGCGCCCCACTGCCTCCCTCCACGCATGTTGCTTAGGGACCCGCTTTCTGCTTGGGGAGTAATCTCTTTCATAATTTTACCTGCCCCCATCCAATGTATAGTTAAATCGAAAAGCAATATGGATCAAATGATTGGATAGAAAAACAATATTTTTATAATTATTTTTGTTTTTAAATTCAGTTTTATTTTACAATCAAAAACACTTTTATTCCCATCAACCCTAAACATTATTACCGGTAATAATTTGTTTTTCTTAAGATTTTACATTAATTACACTTCAGGAATGCATTAATTCCAAAAAAAAAATTTTTTTTTAATTTACTTTACTTCAGTAGTCGCCTCCCGTATCTTTTTCGACTTTATATATGTGCATTTATTTATTTTTATTCATGAAATTTATAACTGTATGAAAATAAAACAAATCTAGTAAATGTGACATGTAGAAAAACTACACATTGGCAGGACTCTAATACAATTTCTACATTAGGAGATGATGAGGCTATCTTCTTTTTAGACGGCTCGGAGAGATATCAGATATCGAAGAGAAAGCAAGATATATGAATTTGAGCCAATCAGAAACATTAATATCGTTGTGAATGTTTCCATTTGTGAACAAATAAGGAGCAATAAGAATTTAACGAAGGATTTCGGATTGCAGCAGTTGTATATGTGAGGAATTCGATGGTTTAGTGGAACCTCAAAGATCATCTCCGTAACACTAAATAAGCCTTATTATAGTCATGTATATGAGTCTTTAGTAATTGATAGGAAGCTTAGAGCGTTAGTCTAGCAATGCTGAATCAGAAACGTCGAGTAATACCAGGACGTTTCAGTTTAGTATGAGCATCCCAAGTTACACGTTTGGCCAGGTGTTGTCGTAAATGTAGGACCTGTTCAGCAGGGTTAAGTGGAGTATTTTTAAAAAAATCTCTAGGATAGGTAGTCATAGGTTTAAGACGAAGGATAAAGGCGATTTGATCGGATTTATTGGAATTTGTTTTAATCCTTCGTATTTTCACCATTCTTCAAGGTTTGTGATGTGCGGTTGAAAAGTTTGGGATACTATTTATGAATCACTATTATCCGATATGATACGTACGTGGTGATGACAATGAATATCAACTGTGGTGTACACAGGCAGAATGAGAAAAGAGAGATGAATAGGCGGTATTTTGATTGACTATGAAGTATCCGTTAGTAAGATTGGGACGGAAAATAAGAAAGTAAGTAGAGTGTAGGAATTCACAGAGTTTGGTCAGGTCAGACTCGATCAAAATCCTGAGTATATCTTAAAATTATAAAATGTAGATACCAATTCTATGGTTACAGGGAATAAGTTGGTAAGTAGAATAATGGTCCTCATGAAATATGTTTCGTGATCTTCGTGATATGATTAATTTTAGGATTAATTCTATGATAAATGAATAATATTGTAAGTGAGAGATCTAGTTAGCCTATTGCATTGCTGATATAATTCTTTGGTCAGAGGGAATAACTTGGTCATCTCTCAAGCGCTTCGCACACTGTGAAGAAGTTGGTAACTCCACTGTTTTCATTTAGATCTAGAAGAAATTTAAAACTAGCAGTTAGCCACTTTTTCACAGTGTGCAAAATGCGTGGGAGATGATGACCAAGTTATTCCCTCTGACCAAAGAATTATATCAGCAATGCAATAGGCTAACTAGATCTCTCACTTACAATATTATTCATTTATCATAGAATCATTTATAAATGAAGAAGGTATTTTTGTTTTAACTGTTCATCCAAGTGCTTATGGGTATAAAATGTGTATATGTATATAAATTCAAATAAATCCGGTTTTCCGTTGCGCGATCTTACCACATATAGATGACTATCTCACAATTAATCGTAAGGATTTCCGAAATTAAGTTGCATTTTGGTCAACTGGAGCTATTTGGAAATCTAAAAAAAGTTCACTTTTTCAAAATTTCAATAAAAACGGTTTATATATTAAATTTTAGTAGATGAGGATTTTTCGGTCTTGCCTAAGGAAAACAAATATTACTGAATGTATTAAATGAATTAAAATGCATAAGAAATAAACAAAAATCAAGATATGCTCCCAGGCAAATTTTTATGATGAAAAAGTCACTAATATAATATTTAAAACAACTCGATACGAATTAATAAAACAAAATACAAATTTTTGGCCTTGATATTATTTCCTGGCGTTCTCAAAAGCATTCACTTCAAGGCTTTCTCCAAATTCAATGTTACCATAAACGTTGGAAAGCTGAATTACTGCTCTTCCGACCCATATCGATGACCTTTATATAGAAGATAGAAAGAAAAATCTTTTTCATACATTTTTATAATTTGACTTATAAACTTTTAATAATTTTTTTTTTTTTGTGGCCACTTCGTGTAGTTCATACACTAAGTATCGCGTGAATTAAGTTGAATCATGATGCAGTTATCACAATATTTGTGATTTTCGAAAAAAAAAAAAAAATCGAAAGCCCTATGCGGAGAGGCGAAAGTATTTCGATTAATTTTTTATAAGCTCAAGAGTTTTTAGAGATGTGAAACACGAACCTCAAATTTGATATTTTAACCCACTATGCTCCTTCATTCGTTACAAAATTATTTTAATATTGTACTCATATAATAACTACCAAATACAATGTTTTTTCTAAACCAGGTATCTAAAGTAAGATTAGATTCTCCGATTCGGTCTCAAAACAAGAATAATACAATATTTGTTTTGTAGATAATGTATACGATAACCACGCCCGAATCCCGTTATTATGATTTTTTGTTTTGACAAAAAAGTTTGATTTTCGTTTATCAGGCTTAGAAATGAATTTTCATAGCAATCGAAAAATTTTGTTTTTAATTCAATGTTGTTACGAGATATCTTCATATAATGCACATCAACCGAATCACACACGATCCTATTGAAAAATAAATATCAATTTTGTTTCTACCTAAAAAACATTTATTGTGATGCGGATGTGTTTATCGTGTATTATATCTATAAAACATGTCATCATTCATTGTTTTTTGAACGAATCGGAGCAACATAGCAGGGTTTGTGCATTTAATATTTAATACAAATTATTTTCCAATATAATTTATTTATCAATAAAGAACATAAATAATAGTTAAAGTGCCCGTTGTAAAATAACTATTTTGAAGAATTCCTTTTTACTTCATATGGAGGGGGAGTACCACCCACCTGGATACTTTAAAGCTGGATACATACCCACATAATCCCTAGAAATTTTAAAAATAAATTTGGATTAACGTTAGTAGGTAATTTCCCCATCACATGGACTCGAGTCTGGGAGCTCTATGGCTTAAAATCCAACTCACTAAATATAAACGTCCAAATAATTAAAAAAAATAGCTCAAATATACCACTGAAACATATTTTCTGAGGAGCCCTAAAACTCACACTAAGCAGCCAATTAATATGCTGAAATAGTGAATTACGCGAATTAACGAACTCGTTCAACAGTAAAGACTTTTGAAAAATACTTTTATTGTAAAATATAAAGTTATATCGACATAATGTTAGTGAACTTCTTACAAAATAGCCTTGTGAGGCCTAAACTAATGTTACGTAAGTTACATCTAGCGAAATATTTACAGATAGAATGAATTCTCTAAGATTAAGGGAGGTAATATGCCCCAACTCTGGGGTGGGGATAGGAGTGACCGGAGTAGGAGAGGGGGTGATAGGCGTTATCTTGATTTCTAGGAACGGTTTGTGAGGGCGGCAAACTAAGGGTAGGTGCCGGCAGGGATGCTATAAGCTGGACAAAGCATATTCAGAAGTAGTACTACTTATCTAAGGGTGGAAGCCTTGACAGTTCATAAGGAATCCGATGGACTATTGCCTCATATTCGGGGGTTGACCTCCCAAGTTGACGTTGATGACGATCATATATGTGGTCAAGATGCCCAACGGACTTATTCCCACGGAAAAGGGTCACAGGATACTATAATTCATTGGTCAAAGCGAGCGTGTTTAATTGGAAAAAGATGTGACTGGAACCAAGGCTACAGCAATATTCAAAGAATTATATTTACAAAGGCTATTGTCTTTTATCTAGCGTCGTTAACTAGCCCATAGAACATTAGCGATTAGTTTTTGTTTTAACAATTCTCTTGCCTCTCAAAAATAATGAAAATACTGGCTAACACAAAGCCACTATTATTCACTGCCTGAAAAGAATACCTGATAGTATTGAGCAAAAATATTGCAAGATCAAATGAACCTTTAAATTTTCTTTTGTGGTATTTTTAATTTAATTTTAAAATTTTTAATTTGTGTTCCACAAGTATATATTGAAAGATAAATAATAAATACATATAAGTATAGTAAAAAAATTCTAGTTACAGAAAGTTTTTCAACTGTGATGATTAAAACAATTATCCTCGTCGTCTTCTTCACAATAGGATGTCTCAAAATATTTTTTCTGCTTCCATCTGGGGACAAAAATAAAAATCTGTAAAAATAAAAAATTAAAATACTCTAGATTAAAAGAAAAATTATATAATTTAAAGCTCCTGATTCGAAAATGTATTCAAAACAAATTAAATATGTCTATTATAAGTAGTTTTGTAAAAAATGCGAGACCGAGACGAGTCTTGGTCATGGTCTTGGTCTTGCAGAAGAGTCTTGCAGTTACTTAATAGCTTATTACTATAGAGATATTAATGTAATTTTTTAGAAGGGAGAATCCTAACTAAGCCCGGATGGAAAATTAGAAGAGTTAAACACAAAAGTATATTGATTATACCAATCATTAACATATAGTAACTAAAATTGTCAAGTATTAGTAATTATTTTGCCTTAATTTTTATTTAAAAAATTTTTAATAGTTCTGGTCTTGGTCTTGCAACAGTTAGAAGAATTTGGTCTGCAAAGTGCAAAACCAAGACCGATTTTGGGGAACACTAATTATAAGTGGTTTTATGACATCTAAAAGTATTCAAA